AAAATGACCAATGTGATGTGATCATCAAAGAAATTGAAAAGTGACAGGATGGAACTCTAATGAGATGACTCACGACGTGATTTCAATGACAGAATCATTTTAACAGTTAGATAATTGTAACATCCTAAAAATTTAAGACTGGATTCTTAAACTAATAAATAAAAATAAATGAAAGATTATTTATATAGTTAAATAATCAAGGAATACGTATACCATTAATGAAATGAAGTTTATAAGGATGGAAATGAAAATAATAACATTTTAAAAGTTAAAGGGCCAAAAGTGTCAAGTTGTCAAAGTGAGTTTGACCAAAGGGTTGTCTCATTTAATGGAATGAACTACCAAAGCTATAAAGTAGATGAGGAAGGATTTATTATGTCAAAACCTAAGTTAAAATCATAAATATTAAGGTTTCGTGGGTTTTGGCCAAAAGATGTAAACTTGAGGGACCAAATGTGAAATTGTTAGAGAAATAAGAGGCACATCCTCCCCAACTCCTCTTCTAATCATGTTCTTGCAGCCAAGAACTCCCCCATGTCGATTTCTCTATCTTTCTTCATCTATGATTTGTTCCAAGTGAGGAATTAAGCAACCAAGCAAAGAAGAAAATGAATCAAGGCTTGCAAGGTAAAATCTCATTCCCTTTAACCTGAAAATTGAGTTTGTAAAGTGGATAAAATCCTAATGTCAAGTTTTATGGGATTCAATTATTAAGGTTTCGTTTTCTTATCTCCCTTGAGTGGTCTCCATGGTTATAATCTCAGTCTAATCATCCCATTAATGGATTTGATGATTTGGGTAAAAATCTCCATGAACCCTAGAAAACCCAAATTGGGGACATTGCAATTAATGATGAGATTAGATTATATTTAATGACCTAGATGATATTTGATTGCAAAAAATCCAATTTGAATGCTCAAATTTATCCATGGATTTAGGTGGTTTTGGGGAAAATATGATGACCTCAATGGATTTTATGCATTTTGGTTTATTTGTTGTGAAAATGAACTTCATAACCACGAATGTATGTTATGGAATGATTTGAATACAAAAACATGAAGACTTGAATGATCTTTAGATGAATTTATTGAATATCTGGCCATAAGGGCTTTTTGGGAAATCTATTGATAGCTACATAATGGTTGACATCTAAGAAGTGAACGATATTTATGAGTTGAATTGACACTCTAGAAATTATAATGGAACATAAACATGAAGGAATTTTGTTGAAGTTCTAAAACTAGTGATTGTTTTGGCCCAAGGGCAATTTGGGAACATCGAATGGAATTGAGGATTCCATAGTTACATTAAGTACTTAAAATGAGAGGGTTGTGGTTTTAAGTACTTGACAACACCCAATGATGTATTAGATGGTTTGGGAATACGTCTTATTAGATAAAGTAACAAGGTTACATATAAACTTAAGCTCTTAAGCATTTCATTTGAGTGTTTGTAAGCATTATAAACATAGCATTTTGATTGAGGACTTAATAAATTAAGTTATATATTTTGATATGATAAAATGCCCTCTATTAGTGCTTGGAGACTGTTACAGGTGTTACAAATGGTTACCTAAAAGACTAAATCCATCCAAGCAAATTTAAGCCTTAGAAAGTGAGTTTTTAGGTGTGTTTTGGCTGCCTCGGGACGCGGCCCATGTGGTCAGGCACGCAGCCTGCATTTAGGGGTCAAAATGTGCAGCTCGGCCAAAATCTGAACTTTAGTATTTTCCTCATAACGTTTGCATACGGACTCAGATTTACGCATGGTTTTTGCCTACATTCATATTATTACATAAGGAATGAGTTGAAACAATAAATTTAGTAATGTAACCTATGATGTTTATTTTGGTCATTTGGTTGAATTTGACCTACGTATGATTGAAGCGAGTACGTGTTAACATTTTTCCCACTTTGGGATACATAGGAAAATGATTTTTATGATAATGAAATACCAATGCTTTGATAATATGAAATGTTTTGAAATGAAATGCTTAAATACTTTTGAGAAAGAATGTTTTGAAAGAATGCCTTGAAAGCAAGAACGTTTTAAAAGCAGAGAATGTTTTGGAAGAACGAATTTTCTAAGATGTGAAATGTGTATTTTCAAAGTATATATTTCTAGTTTCATATGTTATTATGAATGACGATATGATTATTATTAATGTGGAATGTGAAAGATAAAAATAAAGTAAAGAGGTATAATGAAAAACTGTCTGGACCATGATACCTCATAAGAGACCTTAGAGAAATCAAACGGGATGGCACCTCCCTTCACAAAGTAGATGTCATGGATGAATGATACCTTGGTGAATTGATTATTTCTTCACCTTGGACTTTTTTGAATTATACATTGGTGGGATGATTAGTTCTATGCACATTGGCCTTAGATGAATGATACATTGTTGGAATGATTAGTTCTTTTCACCTTGGCCTTGGAAGTATGATACATTGGTGGATTGATTTATTCTTTTTACCTTGGCCTCGGAGATCGAAAAAGATTAAATTATATGAGACAATATGATATGATATGATATGATATGATATGATATGATATGATATGATATGATATGTACGAAACGATATAATATTATATGTTATGTTAAGTATGATATGATTTTCATGTATATGCTTTGAAATATTTTTGGTCATAAACCCGCGTATGTCGCGAGATATTATTGTCTTACGTATCTCGTTTTAATGTCATGCAGGCTGTACGTAAGGAGAAAAGAAGATAGATGGAAGTTAGAAGTTAATAGATAAACAGCTTATCAAGTTCCTTATTAATGGTATTAATATAATTTGTATTTGTTTCCTATGGTTGTATTGATGCTTAATGGTAACACCCAATGTTTTAATTGAAAATGTTTTCGTGGAGCCGGGATTTTATTAAATACGGGTTAGTTCTCAAAAAGATTTTATGGTCATAGCATTTTATATTTTATAAATTTTGGGGTGTTACCGTTAATATATATATATATCCAAGAACACTTAAACCAAAAAAAAAAAATAGAACTTTCGAGTTACCATTCATTCACCGCTAGAGCACTTGCCACTTAGACGTCTCTCTCCTTCCACTTTAGTTTTTGATGTGACGCTTTTCAGATCTGAAAACCCTAAAGTCGACAACGACGCTTTGCAGATATGTGGTTTCGATGGCATTTTGTAATTGATGAAGATGATGGCGGTGTTAGGATAACTGATAAAGATGACGGTGGCGCTAGGTTACTAATGAATATGGCGACGACTCTACGTCCAAAATCTAAAAACACTATATTTGTTGATTTGTTTTCTTTATCCTTTCTCGTTGAAAAACCTTAATTGGATTTGGGTTGAACGTTTTCGACGACGTAGGTGGTCCGACCTGGTGGATACGATCTCCAGTAGTGGTTGTAATCTTTGGTGGTGCTTGTAAATGTTGGTGATGGTTGTTCATGGTGAGATAGAGGGGGGTAGAGTTGAGAAAATGATGAAAAACCCTAACTGATAATACTGATGGGACGAAGTGGTCGGTGGGTAGATGTGATTTTTTTGGATAGTTTTAATAAAGAAAAATGTAAAAGAAAAAAAAGGTAAATAAGTAATTTTATATGGGCCAATGACCAACCACGATAGATATTGAAACAAAAAAGATCTTCCATTGAGACCAAAAAGTTTAGGTATTAAACTTGATAGTTTATAAAACCACATTACTATTTATAAAAATTTGTCTATGAAAAACAAAAGCTATTATGGGGCTATCATAGAAGAAACAAAACAAACTAAGTTAAATTTTTCATTTTGCATCACACACTCCTATCTTTTCTAATTTTAGTGTTTCTAAAACGAAATCAATTAAAAAAATGCTACAATGTTATCAAAAACATGTTCCTTCCAATACTTGGTTAGATGGAAAATCAATGCAATCTGCTACACCCAAAAAACTCAAATGACTGTCATAAAAGTCGAATCCAAAATCAAACACTTCAAGTAGGTGATACAGTGAACATCGATCCACTAAACCATAGTCATAAAACAATCAGACACTAGAGGATCTAAGTCCACCCAAACCACAACCCGATTCCACACCTCCCAAGCCAAAAGCACTTCAAAAACAAATGGCTCTCATCTTCAACTTCCTTAACATACACTTAACACAATAATGAATCTAGATTCATACCTCGTCTATCTAAATTGGCACATGTAGGAATAAGACCGATCATAATTCTTCAAATAAAGACATTAATCTTTATTATAATTGACCTATTCCATCAAGTAACAATAGCATCAATACGCAGACAATTGTCATCAATATCAAATCTGACATATCTCACAAGATAACTCTAGAAGAATCTAGATCCCACCCCCAAGAATCGGGTCTTGAGGTCACCTGAATCGACTGCATCAAAGACAACTAATCCAACAGTTGAGAAGCCACAATATCACATGTAATATGTAAGTGCCAAGTAAATATGCAAGTCTGCAAACTCCAGAAGGTATACCAAACCCTCTTGGCTATCAGATTGCGCATACAATCAGACCGACCTTTAGGGGGAGCAAAGTATGCGACCGTACAGGGACAAAAAAAAAATAATAGGGCCCCAGTTTACCCAAATTATATATATATATATATATATATATATATATATATATATATATATATATATATATATATATATATATATATATATATATATATATACCCATTATTTTTATGTCATTAAATACAAAAATGATATTAATAACAGTTTGATATATCTATGATAACGATATTTCATAATAATAATAATAATAATAATAATAATAATTTGATTTTCTGTAGCATCATACATCAAAACACGTAGAAGGATGAAAATGTCAAACATATGGGGAAAGGAGGAGCAAAATGGCAGAAAATGATGCAGTATATCAAAAGTCTATGAGCATTTAATGGTATGTCAACTCTCATATTACGTCTTCATGAACATACAAATTGGAAACCAACAGAAAAAATGATTCACAAAAAATTTAGTATATCGAAATCTATGTATTTGTGCTAGAACTAGAACTGATCTCAGATGTACCCAAGAGCTGATCCAGCAAATCAGATCCTAAATCCTCAAAAACCACAGGAGTTTTTGGACGGTCTTGATTCTTATTGTTTCTCTTACATTTAGAAATTCTTCTCACTCTATGAGTCTCCTTTATGACTGCTGCTGGTGAAGATCCATCCTTGAAACAGCTGTAGCTTTTCCCCTTTAATGACTCTTTCACTCTCTCCATTGGGAAGTTGAGTTGAGTAGAGGAACCCCTCATTGAAAATGCGGCTTGGTCATAAATTAAAGCCGCTTCTTCTGCACTGTCAAACGTCCCTAGCCATACCCTAATCCCGTTTCTTGTGGAATCCCTAATTTCTGCTGCAAATTTTCCCCAGGGCCTTTTTCGGACGCCTATAAATCGTGTTTTCTGGACATCAGGCTCTTCTTTTGGCTTTGTAATCACTTCTAAGATCTGCTCTTGGTCATGAGAGGTTTTGCTTAGATCTGTTTCAGAGGAAAGCTCATAATGGTCGTAAGTAGGATCCTGGAAAATAATATTTTCTTCTTTTATCTGGACTTCTGAGAGCATCTCGTGAGAGAAGATAAGCTCATCCCATGAACAAGGAGACATAGGAAAGAATTCTAGATTTGGAAATGAACACATTGGTGTAGGAAGTTGTATCTTTAGGGAAGATTAGATGGCTTTAACAGTCTGAAATTTGAAGTGGTTGTCAATGGGACCAAAGGCTTACACCTTTTCTTCTTGTCTTTCCTTGACAAGTGGATGGAGTTTTGCTTTATTAATTACAAATAATTTCCATCCATCAATAAACATTGATTGAGGTTTCGCATCTACGGTCCATGGGCTTGATTCTTTTCCACTTGAGTCCCTTATATATAATTGATTAATTCTAGGGTTCACATAATAGGGTGGTTGATCCTTTTCCACTTCAATCCCTTATAATTGATTAATTCTAGAGTTCACCTAGTATTTTTGCTTCTGTCAGTTGGAGCATGCTTAAAATATTCTAGGGTTATAATCCTTGCATGCTTATTGGAGAGCATGCGTAGGTGACATTTCATCTAATATCACTATGTGTCGGGTTTTTGAGAAATACATCCAGTTCTAAGGTTGCAATAATGCTTAAATTTCTTGTATCCGCTAGGGACTCATAAAATGTGAGCTTGTGAAACCTAGCTAGTAACATATTTCTCATTATGAGACTTTTGCATCTCAAACAAGATATGAAGCTATCAATTAGTTGTACCTCGATTGATCAATTAAGGATTTTTTTTTATTGCTTATGAATTATGATAAGTTGTTGCAAGAAAATATGGACCGCGCCTCTATGTATACTTGTATAGTTTCATAGAACATAGCCAATAATTACTCATTAGCTTCAGAAATTACAACAATACAAACTAACAAAATATGATTTAGTGCTAGAGCACTAAATGTGTTGTACGATGTAAAAACCTAATGTATCTGCCGTAATATGCTTATTTTGTTGGAAAACACGAATTTTCTTCAATTTGAAAACTTGTTTTTTGACCAAATTTTAGTATGTTGAAATCAATATATTTAATATTTTTTCAGTATTATTTAGTTTGGTTTTATTGATTCTCCTTGAGAGAGCTTTGAAACTATGTAACTTTTTTTAGAACAGTAGTTTTTTATTTCATCGAAACAACATAGTTGAGAATTAAGCTAGGTTACAAAACCAATGAGCAAAGCCTTGATAGGGTTAGAAAACCAACTGCCCTAATGAAAGGTGTAAATGAGCCGAGCTTGAGTAGGTTTGGGCTCGGCTCTTTTAAATTTGTTCACAAAGATACTTAATACATAAATCTTGTTTTCAACTATATTAACTATTACTCATTTATTGTGAATAGTGTTCGTTTGTCAACGATCTATATCCATCGAAGACTACGATGTTATTACGTATGCATTTCTAGGTGTCAAACTTTATTTGCATTAAAATGCATGGAATACATTACATTAGGCCTATTGCAAAGTGGGTTCATGGTGATTTGACCATTGACCTAATTTTACCATTTGCCACAGTATAAAATGGTTTTATGTTGTTGGAATATTCTTGCTTTTATTGTTATTATTATGATTTTTTAAAACCATTTTTGATAAAACCCAATAAGTGGTATCAGAGCCTCTTTTGCATGCATGTTTAGATTTCAAGTTTATATAAAAATCTTGGTTTTTGGAAGCAATGGACGATTTTCATCATGTATGTAAAGTTAATGCATGGATTCTTTGGCAACGAAAAATGTTCTTGCTATAATTTTATGTGACCAAAAAACTTATCTCATGAACTTTGGTTACATATGTTTCCTTAGAAAAACATAGAGTTGTTTTTGTGTACGATTTTATGTAAATGTTGTGCATAAACAAGTCATGGGCCCATTATGATGTTGGTTGTGTTGTTTATCAAAATGATTGTAGTATTTATATATTTATCCGTAAAGTATGTAATGATAAATGGTTATTGACCTAAGACGGTAAGGAACTTTGGTTTTTGTCCATATTTAAGTAACCATGTTTTTTTCGTACACATTTAACATGTTCAAAATAAGGTAATATGACTGGTAATTACCATTATATTACCCTATTATGAACAGATCAAACAGTTTTATTGGTTAAATGTGAACGAAAAAAACATGGTTACCTAAATGTGGACAAAAACCAAAGTTCCTTACCCATTTTGGTAATATCGGGTTCTTTATGCCAAGTATAAGTAGTCATAAGACTCACTGACGTAACATAGAATCGGGTCATCGGGTCTTGGTGTCAGATATGGATTAGGTGTCATTATTGGGTTCCTGACTTGATTATTGGCTGCCATCAGAGCGCAAAACCATTAGAACCGTCTCAGTGATTGTGCCCTGGGAGCAGGCTCCAACAATTAACTTAGATCGATGTGTATAAGGATATGCTTTCTCCTGGATGGAGAACCATCTTGGTAGGAGGAGTGTATGTATACAGTGGATGCTCATGTTTGAGAATGAGAGATCCTCCTCAAGGAGGAAGAGGCATTCAATTTATAGATCTAGGTCAATAGACAATTAGGTTAGCCTTGGGCTAATCAAATTCAGGTCAAGCTAGTCATAGTCTAGGTAGTGCTGCTAGGCCTCTAAAGTGCATACAACCTAACCCCTTAAGCTCACACAGCCTAGCCCCTAACTAGTTGGGCGTTAATTGGATTGACCTAAGACTTGGCCTTCTCCATAGACCCATTGATCTAACTTAAACTTCGGAACCTGCTCCCTAATTATAGTCCTTGAGGTGGTCTAATGGTTTTTTTCTTTGATAGCAGCTAGGAATCAAGTTAAGAACTCACTAACGACACCTACTTCAGATTAACAATCCAGATCTGACACCAAGATTCGATGACTCAATTCTATGTCACATCAGTGTGTCTTATGACTACTTTCACTTAGCATAAAGAACCCAATATTACCAAAACAGGTAAGGAACTTTGGTTTTTGTCCATATTTAGGTACCCATGTTTTCTTCGTACACATTTGACTGGTAAACTTGTTTGACATGTTCATAATAAGGTAATATCACCGGTAACTACCAATTAATTACCATATTTTGAACACATCAAACAAATTTAATGGTCAAATGTATATAAAAAAAAAACATGGTTACCTAAATTTAGACAAAAACCAAAGTTCGTTACCCTCCTAAGTCATTAACCCAATAGTAAATAGGTATTAGTTAATCTTGTTTTTTCGTAAATAATAGCTTAGTGTTAGAGTATTTTATTTTTTATGTAAAATGTAACAAGTTTGAAGATAGTGACCATTTTTGGTGGAATGCATTGTGTCCACGGTTTTTATAAACATCCACACAACCATGGAGTCCTTGAAGATCTTGCATGAAATTTTTTTCATTTAATGTATAAGGAAAAATCGCGTAATTAATAATTAATTATGTAACATTTAATTGTGGTGACTATAACTCATAAAACCATTGCTATAGGTAAAAATCGTCACCATAAGGTGGCAATTTTTGTAGTTTTTTCAATCATGTTTTCATAAACGTCATCATAAACAACGTTTCGTCACATGTTATTTAATTTTCATGACTATTGCGGAATTTTAGTGATATATAATATATTAAACCGTTACCATAAACTACTTCTAGTCACTTGTTTTTTCGTTTGTCATGACTATTAGTGACTTTTAGTGACATATAATATATTAAACTGTGATAGTCACATGTTTTTTCGTTTGTCATTACTATTATTGACTTTTAGTGACACAAAATATACTAAACTGTGCCCATAAACTACTATTAGTCACGTGTTTTTCGTTTTTCTTTACTACTGAAAACTTTTAGTGACACGTAATATATTAAACAGTGACCATAAACTACTTTTAGTCACACGTTTTTCGTCTGTCATGACTATTTTTGAACAACTTAAAATCATGTATGTTATTCTAATAAACAACTTAAATTGATAAATAAAATACAACAATCCATTCACATTCACATATAGAAAGTATGTTGATAGCAACAATGTCACACCCCAAAACCGGAACGGCGGAAACGTTCTGGGGTAGAGGACGTCATGTTTAGTATCACAAGACATGCATCATAGTAAGCAAAGTAATAAACAACCATTTCATTCGAAAGAAAGTGTTTACAAAGTATGATTCACACAATATAGAATACATAGCAAATAACAAAAAGACATGAAGCTATACTGATCCATCTTCTGAATTCCAGTGCGCGAACCTGTCTACTGGTCTCCTGAGAATACAAGTTATTTTGAAAGCGTAGATCAGCATTTAAGCTAGTGAGTTCATAAGATTTAAGTGATGTAGTAAGTAGTAAGAAAGTTGTAGAAAGTTATAGTAAGTTGTAGTAAGTTCTGTTTTAGAAAAGTTTGTCTGTTCCTCCAGGAAATCCTATATTTCCTGCTTTGATGAAAGATAAGTAAAAATGACTCTACAGTCCTTTCTATGAGTATTAAATGAATACAAGTTAGATAAAAACTCAGAGTAAACAAACAATCGGTTGTGTGTATCTGCCCTAAGCCCACAACCAAACAAGGAACAGGAAATGAGGCGGAAGACACACATCCCATTGTTTGTTAGATCTTCGTTGTATATAACCCTGGCGTATTCACCTGGTACTCACGGAGTTAACTGTAATAGTTCCTTTATATTTGATGAAAAGATCCTTTAAGAAAACCCTTATTTCTTATAGTAAAAATGGTAACCACAGTGGTTCCTTCTATAATCACTTAGTTTATACTAGCTATATATAATCTAATATCGAATAGATAGTTAATTGTGTGAATCTGCCCTAAGCCCACAACCAAACAAGGAACATGAAATGAGGCGGAAAGCACACATCCAACTACCTATCGGATATTAATTATATATAACATTGATGTATAAACTAAGGTATTATAGATTAACCACCTAAGGTCTTTTAAGTTATAATGGTTTAATAAAATGGATTAAACCCTTTTACCGGTAAGTTTCTAGTTTTGTGTACCAAAAGTTCTTGTCTGAAAAAGTATGTTTGTGTACTAGAAAACGGTGCATTGAATTAGTGTCCTATGACCTGGCCCATACCTGGTACCCCTTATGATTACTTGGTGTATACGTAAACATATATATATCTAAGATCGG